GTGTGTGTGTGTGTGTGTGTGTGACTGGAAGCCTCTACACTGTTAAGTTCTAAAGAAAAAATTGATCCATCACCACCTGCATCATAAAATATGCAGTGTTTAGAGGATGAGAGTGGCAGGTGGGATAAAAGAGAAGCATGAAAAACAAAGGAACGACGGATACTCTGGTTGTCCTCAGACTGCTCCGTGGCCTGCATGGCCTTTCGGATCTGCATGCGGATGATGTCGATCTTCGTCTTGCTGTCCTGCAGCATCTGCTGAGCCGTCTGGAGAAACTTCTTGTCCTGGACAACAGGAGGAGACGAGGGACGGAGTGAAGCAGCAGCACAGATCAAACATTACAGTCATGGAGAGGAACTGCTGACAGCTGAGTACCTTAGTTCCTCCATTCACATAGATGGGAATCATGTTTTCCGCCCCCTGTTTGACCTTCAGCTCGATGTTTAGCTGCCGCTCCAGGGCTGCGATGCGATGCTGAGTGGCCGACGTCCGACTGACCGACCCCGGAGACTGAGGGGTATCTGGGCGGGAGGAGTCAGTGGTTGAGATGAGATAAAACATGTAAAACCACTGACACAATATTGTGGTGTTGACGTGATGTCATGAAGATGGATGAACTACCTGTGTTATCATCAGGGCCTTTGACCACGATGTGCGCGTCCAGCTCCTGCAGCTGAGTGTGGAGCGACTCCAGCTTCCGCTTGGAGCTGCGGAGCTGCGAGTCCACCTGCTGGGCATTCCTCTTGTCGGTGGTGGCCCTGCGCAGGTTCTCCGCACCCTCCTTGATCTTCAGCTCCTTGCGGATCTCCCTGCGGATCCTCTCACGGTGCTCGTCCAGGCGCTGCTGCACACTGGAGTCCGAGAAGTCGGAGTTTTGGTCCAGGCCGAGCTGCTGCAGCACCGACAGCCCACCTGGGTCGCTCTGAGGGAGAGAAGGAGGGCGAGAGGGTTAAGGAGGAGGAGGAGTCAAATATTACAAATATGAAAGTTGTGCAATGGGGGATCATTGAATCTGAGTTGAAAGAGAAACTGCTTCAGAAGTGACACCTTCAGCTGAGAGTCGCTGAGCCGAGGTTATCACCTACAGAGCTGGTAATGCTTCACCACACAGAGTGAAGCATTGTGGGATGAAAACAGGAGAGCACAGCGACTCTTGAGAGTGAATTGACAACATGTGGAAGCTGCTGAGCTGTGAAGAGCTGAGTGCTCACATCAGCTCTCTACTGATCAACACTAATCAGATCAGTAGAGATTAGAACAGCATTAATACAGACTAAAATCAATCAGGGTCCCGTCGGCCTCCGGATGGAAACACACACACACACACACACACACACACACAC